TGTATTTACAGTCGATACTCTCAGAGTTATTCAAGGTCAGACCTGTTGGGGACGAGGAGAATCCAATAGATCAGCACTTCAGGAAACCTCCCCATGCTCAGACAAAAAAAGACTTTAAAACACAGAAAACATCAGATGAACAAAACAACCCACAATAAACCTTTGTATTTAATTCAGACGTGGTAACCAGCTACAAGACAGAATGTGTGTCTTGTTCAGTGCATCCTCCAATCGCCACAATGATGGACATTTGTCTCTACAGAGCCATAAATGAGTGCGAACACACGAGATCTAAATCACCGTGCAGGACCAACACCCCTTCTTGCAAATGATGTCTCGCCTACTTTGACTCGGTCAGGTCGATGTTTTAGCAAAACCTGTCGTAAGCGAAGGAGAAAACGCCTCCAGATGTTATGGGTCAGAGCGGCAGCAGACCCCCGTCTGCCCACTCAGGTGTTTTCACTGATCTTCTCCGGTCAGCACGCGTTGTGCTCAGAGCACATTTCGCTCCTGTGACAATTATGGCGCGTGTTTGGGCGGCGGGCCCGACGTCACCGCCATCGGCAACCCCGAACAGAACGGGTCGGCGGGCGTGTGTTGCGCGACACCTCTCGCACGGCTACGTGAATCTGACCCTTTGTGACTTTGGCAGAAATAAGCTGTGGAGCAACATTGTATTTCATTCGTTTATAGAACAACAAATAGGCTGGTGATTGGGCGCAGTTTAGGAGTTTATTTAATTGGATTTCAATCATCCATGACAAAACAGTTACAAGAACGTTTGTCTTGGCTCTCAATTATGAAGAAAAAAGGAATCGGCACAAATCTGATTCAGGCGGGCAAGTTTTGCAGAGAATGGAAATCGGACGAAGTATCTCTGAAATCTGCAGCTTTGCGTCCTTAAAAACAGAAACACGTGTAGCAACAATCACATTTCCTCCCCAAATAAACACACACACAAGGTGTTAGTGAGCTTTAGAAGGTCTGCCTCCGGAAGACGTCTCCAGTCTGCCAAGCTAAGCTAACTGGCTGCAGCGCCGCAGCCGACGCACACACACACGAGTGCTTTTGATTTGTCGTTAACGCGTCAATCAGTCACACATAAAACAATAAGGCCCGTGCAGAATGCTTCAAATGGATACAGATTCGAACAAAGCCGGTTGTGTTAAACTAGTTTGCCTATGTGCTCATGTCTGGCTTGGTGGGGTTAATGGAAGAAAATAGCTCCTAATCACACACTCAGATGAATGTGTCCAACTGTGTGAACTCAGCAAACCCTTTAATTTGTTCGTCAAAAATAGCGCTCACAAAAAAAAAAAAAAAAAAAACTCCAGCATCTTGAATTTGTCATTCGCACGGCGTGGAAGAAGCATTCACAGCGATTTGTGCAGACGTGTTTACTTATATTTTCCACACGGCAAACTCGTTTGTCTTTATTGCATCAATGTGCGTATTGTTCGCGTCGGCCTCAGTTTACACGCTGTCTCGACTCCTGTCCTCTCCTCTGGACGTCTGTGGCAAGCCGCTCAGCTGATGTCCACTCCGCTCTCGGCCCGTACGTGTGAGAGAAAGTGCAAACAATCATACACCCCCACACCCCGCCGATAACACCACCCCTCTTGTCTACTTTACACTGCTGTTTTCATCCAGTTTGATTCCCTGGTCCCCCCCACTGGTCTGCATGATGTCCCCTCCGTTAGCTTGAATCCCCCCCCACCCCGGCTGTGTTTGCGGCGCCGCGTGAGTGTGACTAGACGCCGCCGAGCCTGACCTTTGCAGCGGCGCCCTGTGATTCCAACCCATTTGACGGTGGGCGCCTGATAGAATGCTAATGAAGGAGCTCGCGCGGTGACACGCCACGCCGGCTCCATTGTAATTATCTGAGGGATTATCCCTTATGCCCACGATGCAAATTGTTTGATTATTAAACGGAATTACTGTCGTGCGCGACACGCGGCTCTCGCTGCCAGGTCGGAAATGACTGACGATGGCGCACTGGCGAAAAATGCGTAATCGCTGTTGCAATGAAATGTGATCAAACAGTGGCACTTGTTGCGAAGAGGAAAAAGGAAAACTCCCTCTTCCCCTATGTGAGATGAGTCATTTCCTTTGGGCACTTGACGACAAGCAACGAGAGATTCTGGTATGTTTTTTTTTTTTTTTTCTTTCTCATGTGCAGAAGCCCTTTTGTGAGTGTGAGGCGGAATGCAGTCTGAATTATAAGGTGATATGAATCCAACCGGCTTTGAAGACATCTCTATTGATAAAGGGATATTCAGCACGAGGGCTTTGTCTGTGTGCTTGTACCTCAAAGGCAGCTCATTTTCCTCCACTCACTTGAGTTGAAATTAATCCGTGAAAAAAGTCCCACTTACTGAAGTTATTAATTAGAAGACGAGAGTTTTCCAAAGGTTAAAGCGAGGGAAGTCCCTCTATCGGGAGAACAAGGATCCCGCCGTGTGTTACAATAATCGTTTGCTTATTCGGCAGAAGCTACAGATCGGTACGTTTCAAACACTTGAAAATATTTAATCACACAAACACCCGGCAGAAAATGTTAATCACATCGTGTTTACAACAAATTTGTTAAGTGGATGAGTCGCTGCGGCGTTTTCGCTTGTTTAAATATGTTGCGTGGCCAATTTGCAGCGGGAGGATGTGCCGTTGGTTTCTTTAATGTGCGCTTCCAACGGCTCGGTGTGGCTGCGGCTGATTCCGGGCCAGTACACTTACCCGAGGCAGAGTGCCAAGGCATAATAGGACATTTGGTTGTGAAATTCCGAATCTGACAGAATGCATTAAAGCCAAGCAGACTGCCGATGCAAAGGCAGCAGACAGGCCAAAGTGATGACTTCCCATTTCCTACCAACTGGATCATATTTCCCTGCGCTTCCAGCCAAACAAATGACCAAATTGTGCAGCAACTGTGCCATTGTTTGGACACAGAGTCCCATTGTTTGTCATATTAGATACACACACACATCCGACAAAGGCAATTACTGTTCACGTCACTCTGGTGCTTTTGCTCATAATCGGCTGGATTTTAGAGGCCAGAATGAAGCTTCGGTTGCATGTTGTTGTTTTTTTTTATCTCTAGGAAGGTCGTTCTCTTAACATGGCGGGACCTTCCACGTCGCTCTCGCTGAGTCACCGGGTCAGGGTGTCCCGCCCAGACTTAATTTTTTTTGCGGCAGCGTGCCCTTGTGATACCAAACAAACACACACCATGTGACAACTACCATCTTAGGGAACAAATAATGTGACAGCCCCTCAAGCTGCCGGGCGGTCTGCTCTGCCAGCGGGGAGTAAATGAATCCCATCGCTCCTGTTTCTGAAGGGGTTGGATGGAGCTGGGGCATGAGATCAGGATGTAAAGATGTCGGCAGTGTGGCTTTTTACACGTCCTCTTTGCTGTATGACGGTATAACAGCAACAATAGATGCCCTAAGAGTAGAGATATCGATAAATGTACGAATGAACAATCAGCCAACATCTAAATACCAAACAGATGTGCACAAGCAAAGAAATACTCAAACCACCAAGTGAGATAGGGGGATATCTGGGGACAGACAGATCTGACATGACTAAACTGTGGACGTCAGGACAAGAAATGACCTTTAGCTGAACTCCAGCAGAGGCACAAAATGCGGCAGTTTCGGTTTGCTTCCCTCCGGCGAAAAAATAGAGGAGAACAATAGGGCAGTCAAATGTATCCTAATTCCAGATGGAGACGCTAATCCGGTTCAGAGGCAGCAAGGAAATGGGCTTGTGAGAGAAGACCCGGGCAAACACATGCAGATGAGAATGATTATCCTGCAGATGAGCGGAAAGATGAAAACTAATTTAATAATAAGACCAGAAAATTCTCCACGATAACGGGGATCTGGAGAGCGATCCGGGACCCATCTGGAGCTGTCCACCTACCGGCGGTGCTGAAAGCTTCGTGCACAGAAAACCCTGGAATGTAAACCAGCAGCTCCAGTACTACAAATAAAATACCACGTTGTTAAAATAAGGATTTGAAGCATTTGAACGTTCACTTATAGTGTGAGGGACTAAAAGACATTGCAGAAGGAACATTTTTACTTTTTGCTTTTGACAAGCTAATGTTTCATCTGCTTCAGTAATGGACTGCCACTTGGTACCGATCAAGGTCTTCAGGTACTTTTATTCTATTGGTTACATTCTACTTTACAGTTCAGAGCTAAAAGAATGTATATTTTTCTCCACCATGTGGATCAGAGCCTGATTGACCAAAAAGGACGACCGAGCATCATTCAAAGCCGCGTGAAACCGCTCATGTAACATTCAAATGCTGCTTATCAGGGCACCAGTAATAATGAATCTAATATAATATAATCATTAGTCATCTCTAAAGTGTGGTGTCTGAATATTTCAACTTGTGTGCATACATTTTTACCAGAGGAAATGTGATCCATGACAGAGGAGCTGTGGGTCCATATTCCATGAATACATGATGAGTCATTTTGTTGCTTCATCCTCATGTTAACTAGCGCTATTTGTGACAAGCGTATTTTTCTGCCAAAACATGCATTACTTTGATCTATCTGCTGATTCCTTGGTGGAACGCCTACTGTATAGAGACACTTTTGAGTAAGATAGATGTGTTTTATTCTGCGGACTGATTACAATGCAAATCGCCCCCGTCGATGCCGCACGCCGCCCTCTAAACTAAAACCCGGGCGTTTATACGAGCGCACACTTCAGCCCGGCTGGAGGGAAAAACCACACTGTCTGCTGGTACTTCATTTGTTTAACACTTTATATAGGGCACTGGGAATATGAACGACTCTGTAAAACACTGCCGTGTCCCAGATCCTGCAGGTCATTATTCTGAGAGCTTATTGATATGTGCATCTCTGTACCGCCGCACTGAGCCCGGCGCCGGCAATAAATAAGCTGTGTGTGAACCTGTTTTATGTGCAGCGGAAGCGCGCGTTGTTGAGCCGGCGCTCGCGCCGAACCGTCGATTCGCTTACCTTGCCCACGTAGAGCGGCTCGTTTCCGGTGTACTCCTCCAATACGAAGAACTGGTTCCATACCCAGCTGCGTTTGTGCCTGTGCGGCGCCCCCCGGGGGTCGGGATCGGCGCGCGGGGACCTCTCCGCCTCCCCGGAGCCGGGATTCAGCCCCCAGCAGCCTCTCTGCCGCAGGGGACACAGGAGCGCCAGGAGAGCCAGGGCTCCGCATATGCCGGAGCAACACCACCCCATCATCTGGGCCCCCCTCCAAAAAGGAAAAAAAAAAAAAAAAAAGCAGCGAGGCCAAAAGAGGATAGAAAAATAAAATAAAATAAGTAGACAGCGAGAAACAAAATGTCAAAAGCCTGAAGGTGTTTATCCACACAGCTTCAGCAGCGACCCTGAAAGGAACGCAGGGGTTGGACCAGAGTCAAGCGCTGCCTTTTGCCGTGTTGCTCTTCCTCTTCTTCTTCTTCTTCTTTTCCCGATCGGAGACTAGAAGTGGGGTGATTCCCTCCCCTTAGGTGCCGGGGAGATGACATTAAAGCCGGGTATCAGGGTCAGGGGCGACCGGGCAGGCTTCAACTCACAGGCCCGTATAATTGGCACCTATCAGTGATAGAGGGGAGAGAGAGGGAGGAGAGGGAGGGGGGGGGGGGCAAAAGAGAGACATAGAGGAGAGAGGAGAGAAAGTACCGTCAGCATTATCGCCTCTGTGACCGCAGTCACTTTAGACAGCAGGTAATGTGCCGGCTGATGCAAACGACGGCGACGTTTTTTCACCAAAGCTGAAGAAATCGGCGAAATAAAACACTTTGCACGTACGATCGACCCGGCGTCCTTCACCTGCACGCGCGAGGAGGAGGAGGAGGAGAAGAATTGTTCCGAGGTCAAGGTGTTAATGAGGGTAAGACGGGAGGGGGAGGGGACGGTGATTTCACAGCGGCTGGAACAACAGCGGCTGCGTGGCATAACAATCAAACGGCGCTCAGCTGGCTCCCCATTACCCGGCCTCCGCCTCGCCAAGGTCGTCGCTTTGTCACATTTTCTTTTGTGTAAGAGCGCGGCGGCAGAGGGGGGAGAGGGGGGGGGGGGCACTCAAAACTAACAAGCCACATGATCTGCGCGAGATTAAAAATAAATCTGAGCTGTCGGCGGGGCTCACGACGGCCCGAGCGCTCCTGACCTCTACTCCGAGTGGCCGAGCGCACGCGAGGGGGGTTGAGGGGGGGGGGGACCTGTCTCCCCGCCGCGCCGTCACGCCGTGACAGATATCCCCCCCCACCCTCTCCCACAAAATGCCGGGACATGGAGGCCTTGTCAGTCCGGGAGAAGAATCGGGCTCCTGACAGATAATGTTCTCCGTGTCACAACACATCCTGGAAGTCCCGAGCAGTTGAGCGACCACGCAGGCCTCGTGATGTCGGTCTGGTTCCAGAGTGACTTCCCTCAATATGTTGTTTTGAAAGGGGGTGGGGGGGTATGAAATACACAAACGTAATGCAACACCTCGGGAGGTTTCTGATTCGGAAAGGTCATTTTAACTTTCAGGGGGTCTTCTGAAAGCTTGACTACACATTTATTCCCCCTCCTCCCCCCCGGACGAAGAAGGCAATTGCTTCGGCATAAAGTGACCTCTTCCTTCCCACACAGATCCTTTGGTTGTCATTTGACTTCCTCTCGTATCACACAGCACATCCACAGTAGTAATTAGCCGGTGCAAATAATCAACGCGGATGTGAATACCAACAGCGTGATCTTCACCTCTGCAGAAACCTTGTTGTTTGTGAAGACCACCTGGAACGTGGAAGTTCAAATACCCATTGGAGGCATCTTCATTCAACGCCCTACCGCCCCTCCCCCCCACGGCCAACTCCCTTTTCCGGTGTAGCGGCAGAAAGCACACAAACCGTCTTCTAACTTTTCCCCAGAAGCCGTAAATCTGTGGAAAACATTCACCATAATCTGCCTTTCAATGTGAACCATTAAACACTACTGTTGCAACACACGCACACACACACGCACACATTCAAAGTCCGCCTCTGCATGACGACGTGATGGTAGGGGTGGAAAGCGGAGCAGATCTGTCTGCAGGGCAGCTGTGCAGCAGGTTGAAGCGGCGGGCATTGCGGGGTCAGTCTGAGGCGGCGTGCGGGTTAATGCTCCTCATTCGCTGGAAGAGATGGGAGTCAGATGGAGGCGGGAGATGGAGCTACAGCGTAGCTCTGGGTGCAGCAGATATTGGCTCGCTATTAAATGAGTTTTTACTGATTTGCTGTCCGGTTGATTCTTTCCAAAGTATTAAGCAATTCATGCTGCAGAGAAATCCATTTCTTCCAATACGTCTCTATTGTTCATCATTTCAAAGATCACAAGCGGCCGTCTTGTCAAATCTGACTTGAAATGAGTTCTTCTCACGTGGCGAGCGCGTTTTATGAGAATATCTTGACTGTTTTCCCCCTCTTCCTCTTCCTGTCGGCGTCAGGTGATTGACAGCAAGCAAGAGCGGGACGGAACGCGGCGTCGATGTGAAAACTCTCGACTGGCGAAGTGACAAGCGAGCAGGAATAAAGGGAAACTTTGGGAGGCCCAAAAACAAAAAAAAAGCCAAACAACAAACAAATGAAGGCGAGACGTCGACCGTGATGGATTGTCTCGCTGGGCGGAAGTTGTTGTTGTTTTCACGCTGCACAGGAGTGTCAGGCAGGCCTGTACGCCTTAAAGCCTGACGAGGGACGCTGGAGCCACGGAGCAAAACGCATAGAAGAAGAAGAAGAAGATCTGGCACAAATGTTCACGTCTATTAACAAATATCAACGGGAAATGTCATATCGTGGCAGACTCCGTCCACCCTCCCTGTGGAGAAGCCGACTGATTTGTGTCAATGTGAGGACGTCGGCCCCCCCTCGCCCCCCCTCCCCACCCCCCCCCAGGCTCGGTTTCTCTTGCACACGGAGCTCTAATCCCGTTTGCCAGTCTCACAACGGGATTACCAGTGCCGGGGAGCTCAGTAACCAATCACACGCTTCCTCTGATCCATATTCCCCTCAATCATTCGAGTGTCTTCACCCGCGAGGGTGCTTTCTAATAACTCGTCTCGCATCCGTTTGAACTCCTCTCGCATCCTTCGCCAGCCGCCCGGAGGCTGACGGACACTGTGGGGCCGCACGCAGCGCCGCGTCTGTGAAGAGTTCAATAATTGGGTTTTTACAGATTAACACACATGACGGAGCTGCCTTCTCCTCTGTTGAATCGCTCCTCAGAAGATGCTTGAGTTGCACTGCGAAGAACTAGTGTGCCCCCCCCCCCCCCCCCTGACGGCGGTGGGGTGATTGGCGGATGGGAGGGGCAGAGGTGCAAAGAACGTATTAAAATCCTACCCAGTGGCCATGAATTGTAATTCTTGTTCCCGAGATTGAAGGACGAACAAAACCTTAATGGAATGGAACATTCTTTCAGATAATTCTCTTTAAGAAGTCATTCAATTGAGACCATGAGTGCACTGACGCAAACAAATCCCTGTGTGACCACCCAGCAACATGATATTAGGCATCATGAATGCCGCTGATGGTCTCGTAGCCACTTATACAGCACTGCAGGGCTCACAGGCAACCAACTCGGTCTGCACAGTAAGATATCGCATATCGTTTGACGCTTTTCTCTTCAAAATAGACTTTTTCTTCGTCCTTATAGGTCATCATCATTATTGATCCACGTCTTGTCCTCAGACAAGTGGGACATGTCTTCCTTTTATTCTCTGTGCAGTTATTAGTTCCACGAATTCCCTTGAAACAAGCGGAGGTATATTACCCTGAAATAGGCCAGATATTCTCATTTAGAAAATCCTTAATTATAACTTCTTCCTTTTTTTTTTACAACCCTCACTTTCTCCCACTTCTCATTAAAATAAAACGATAGCAGCCCAGTTCTGCACTGCGTGACACTTTGAGAGACTCTTTGCAGCGTAAATCGGCAGGTACCTTTCCGCTCAGCCTTGTGACCTGATTGCTTTGACCCCTCAACCCTCTTCCTGTTAACCACCAATCATTGCGGATTTTCCGTCAACACACCTGCACAACGCAGAAAAAGTTGTCAGGGCGCACCTGTTTCCCGGATGGGATGATGGACATTTGTCCGATAGAAGGAAAGAAAGCAAGAAAACGCACGCGTCATTTGCGCGGATCGATCAAACATCTGAATGACTTCGGGGGGGGTTGGAGAAACAAAGCGGGAGAGGACGCGGGCCCGGTGGCTGATACGCGCACGATAGGAATCAACCAACAGTGAGACGGACCGCCGCAGGAAACCTGTGTCCGCGGAATACTAATCACCGACGGGACAAAGACGCACGGAATGCATAAGTAGACCATAAATTAAACTCAGATGCATTATGGGAATGTAAAAAAGAAAAAGAAAAGCAGAACAAAAATAAGTCGACACATGATCGGAACCGTGTGAAATCCTTTGCCGTTACTCACCAACAGAAGGTGGACCAACTTCGCCGCGGCGCACAGATGGCGCGTGGAGCTAAAAGTTGTGCGGTTCTCTCCTCTCCTTTCCGTCTCCGCGCAGCGCGCAGAAGAACGCGGCCTATGTGGAAATGCGCAGTTTAAAAGTTGCCATGGTGAAAATAGTCCCGGTGGCAGGGCAGGGCTGCTGGGGAGCGGCGACTGGATCGCGCGTAAATGCTTCCCTTCGGAGAGAGGGGCCAGACTTGCCTCATCCCTCCCTCACTCTCACTCTCTCTCCCTTTCCCTCCCTCCCTCCTCCTCTCTCTCTTATTCTGCGCAGTGCCGCCTCTGTGCAGGGAACCCCAGCTGCAGGGTTCGGGCATGTATCTGTCTACCCGGGGACGCGCAGCAGCGAGGAGAGAGTCGGCCACGCTGGAAAAGCTCTCGTCTTGAGTTAAATCCTCTCTGACTGGAGTGGAGGGAGCATATCGAAATAGTTTGACCGGAATAAGTTGCCACAAGGAGGGAGTCGGGGACGCACGCGGCGTTCTGGCAGAGACGACGTGGCTCCGAATTCTCCGAACAACCTGCCGGGTTGTTGGCGGCAGATGGCACGCGTTCTGATGCGCGGTTGCCTGGATGGTGGAAAAAACCAATGCAACATTCGTGACAGCTTCCGCCAATGAGAAGGACTGACACCCCCCCCCCACCCCCCACCCCATCCGCCACCCGCGCGCACGCACACACACACACCGCTCCTTCACTTTGTGAGAGGGAATTAAATCCTGCACATCGCGTTTCAAATTATATTACATTTTGATGAGAAAGAACATAATTGTCCCTCATTTCCCCCGCATAATACACACTCGCCGAATGAACTTTTTGCATGCGCACATTTTTAAGTGCATTTCCATGAAGATGTCTGAGGCAGACATTTGGATTTTGGTCCAATTAGAAGCAAACTGAGCTCCAGCGGTGGAAGAAGAATGCAGCAGTATCCTGCAGAAACTACAGCACCTCTGAGCTCACGGACCTTTGAAACCAAAACAGCATTAGTTACAGTCCTAATTATCCTGCGCCGGTGTCTCCAATTAACAACACAGATATTTGCACAGACTGCAGCGGCGCTCCCCCTGTAAACAGTCTGAACTCTCATTTTGACATTGCATTTAAACATTATTTACACCTTTTGTCACATGAATAAACATTGCATTTCACTTTAAACAGAACCCCCGATGACTATTCATCAGAGCATTCTGCTCCTTTTCTATAGAGACAGAATACATTAAAACCGAGCGGCTCCTTCTGTCACTTAAGAAAAGGAGCACTGAACCAAACTAATAGAAAGAGCAGCCTCTGTCTGTCATACCTGGAAGAGCAGTTAGCAAAAGATGAAATGAGACACAGGGGACAATGGACAGGTATGAGATACAGTGCAATGGGGGGTGGGGGGGAGTGAGTGAGGGAGGGGCAAGGAGGAAGAATGATGTTGTTGGCAAAGGGAAAGTAAAAAGGAGCATAATGCCAAGGAGATAAAAGTGGGAAAGGCTCTCAATAAGAATCCAAAGCGAGACGGAGTGCAGAGTTAGAGTGGGTGTGTGATGATAGAGGCAGAGGTGAAAGGGAGGAAAGGAGGGAGGTGTATCGTGGGGGGGGGGGTGAAAGCATGGTGGTGGGGGGGGGTGCAGTTCAGCGGTGAGAATTATTTTAATGGAGAGTGACATTGGGAGCTCGGCTTGTCGGCTCTTCGCCATCAATCACTGGCGGTCAGGAGATGCCTGAGGTGATGTGGCCGCCCCCCTCGTCCCCCCCGTCCCCCTCACCCCGCGGATCCCACAGCATTTAGCTGGCGTGCCTCCATTAAATCTGCAGCACCGCCTCCCCCCCCCACGCAGCAGGAGGCTCTGACCTCACCTGGCCCACTGTTATCTGCTCCCCTGGGACTCGCTGCTTGATGGGTCTTTTTGTTCGCGGGAAAAACAGGGCAGGGTTAGCGAAGCAGCCTATCGGAGCATTCATGAAACGTGACCTCCAAGGACGATCGCGTTGGATTGATGCGTAATATTTGCCGCTGTGGACTCCCTCTCTGCAGCTGGATTTACATTACGGCTCTGATGGCGTCCGATGAGCTGTGGGGGAAGAGATAAGGTTCTTTTATACGGTGATGTGCCGTCAAATCAACGCTCGGGTGGCTTGGTCCGTCACTTGGAATCACTGGAGCTGGACGATGTTTTAGCTGTTGGGATCCTTTTTCCATTGAGCTTCATTGAGTTTTAGTCATTTGTCTGTTAAACATGTCAACTCATCGCATCACCTTTAACCAGTAAAGATTGCAAACAATTCCAGCTTTGTATTGAACTTTTAACACCACTCATCCACTAGTTCAGCTACTGTCACAGTTTATCCATTACATTTGCCTCTGCGCACCTCGTTATAGCTTACTCCGTTGATCAATATATCCTTTTAAATGAAAATGTATTTTCTCATTTTAATTATGACATATGGAATGTTTGCAAAGCAACGTTAATTGCTGGTTAATCTCTGACCCGCTAAAAGACAATCGACATAACTATAATAATCCCAGCGCTTACCTGTCACTGTAATTGGAAACAGATGGAAACCGATGGTAGTAACATTGACTGGACACTTTCAGCAATAAACCGGGTATCGATTTCCCGAGTGGAGATTTAAAGAAAACCCGTCGCTGTACTCACAGCTAAAAGGGCGTCAGAACAGCTTCTGAACAGCAAACACGTGGACTCACAGGCAGCGAGCGGGAGAAGAACGTGCACACGTGACGCGGCGGTTCTCGCTATGGGGAAAACCAACATTGGAGTAGAAATAAAAACTCTCCTCACACTCGCTGTTTAATGCATTTTTCTTTGTGTTTTTGGGTTTATGAAAGTAGAAGTCACTGCAGCGCACCGGCCTTCATGTTCTTCAGTGCCGGCGGAGCAATGATTCACTGCCAGTGACCGTTTTTCGCGCCGTGACAGCAGCTCGCTGATTTATCATCAAACTGAATTTCACTTAGCGGTTGTTCTAATTCATCTCGGACTCCTTCTCTTCTCCATAATTACACCGAGGGTCTCGCAACACAGACTGAAAACCCGCCCCGCCCTAATTGTTTGCTTTATTTTTTTTCTTCCCCCCCAACTCCCGAGTCTCGATTGATTTTTCTCTTCTCGCCGTTGGGCTCAGACACTTTTCAGACGCCGCGGTTGCCTCGGATCGGCGGGCATTTCTCCCGCGCTGTGCTTGTGAGGCTGCGCAGAGCCCGGGATCAGAGAGGGGGCCTTGATGTTCAAGGGACAAGGCCGAGCAGCCGGCGTACCCCCCCTGACTCCGCCGCCACCACCGAAATACAAAAGACCCGACCTATTTGCATGCGGCGCCTCTGAACGTCCCCCCGCTGCCGCGCTCCTAAACGTGGGGATTTGGACTAATCACCCGGCAGGTATCGAGCCATCACATTTTCTTCTAAGAGGGTTCGAAAGATCAAGTGAACGAGTGGACGACCCAATCTCGGCGGATTGGCGGCATCGATTCAGACGTTGTCTGTCACGCCTCCGAGGCTGGAGGCGGAAACCGACCCCTCGCCACAATCGAGAAACCCCTCATTCAGATTAGATTTGGCCCAAACCTGCTCCCCTGGGTGGGGGGGTGGAACGACTACAGAGGAGGAATCGCAATGGTTAGACTTTGAATAATTTAATGTTACAGGTTTCATATTTTTCACAAGGAGACTCTGCAGCTCCCAGTTCCCACGACCGGCGCCTTCCACATATACAAATGTCTTAATCCCCATTGATATACAGCGTGTGGAAAATGTTGTCACGCTTGCCGATTTCGATTTTGCTCGCGAGCAAAATTACGACTCGGTGGTTTGGTGACGCTGCAGAGACAGCCGTTCTTCAAGGACAATCTTCTGCATCTGTGTGAATAATCAATGTTTCTGAAAGTTTATCATGAACTCGTGGCATCTCGTCACATCTCCCTCCTGTGAACGGCGTCCCAACAGAAAACCCAGGGAAAGGTGAATACTCGTGTTAGATAACAGCGGTCACTCTCGGCAATTTCCCCTTCCCGCCGCAGACGAGTCACGGCGGGTCCTGAAAGAGAGGCGTCTCGCCCGCAGACAGACATGTTCATTCACCGCGGTTTGTGTCGACTCGGACAGCTTCCTGATCCGAATCCTAATGACGGCCCGGCCTGCTGGCGCTCAGAGGCCTGTGTGTCACGGCTCCGCCTGCGCTTCTCAATTCACACTCCGAATCTCCGCAGAAAGGGAAATACGGCTGTCAGAGGAGATCCGGCTTGTCAACGCAACCATTATAATTCACTGGTCGGCGCGCACAACATCGGAAACTCCGGGTTAAAACTAAAACAAATGCTTTCGACTCGTGGCTGTCATTCTTTTTTTTTTTCCACTAATCATCCAAAACGGAATATTTAAAGCTCCCCTAATAACGAGTAAGTGTTGCAGATGTTGAATGGTGGCTTGGCTTATTGTCACATAGTGCCAATCAGGGAGGTACACTGTGCCCATTACCCCCACAGCATCCACTTCAGTATGGACAGTATAATGCTATTCTGCTTGCTACATGGCTAGCACGCTAACAACAACAGAGAAAGATTCCAACTATTCCACTGCAACTTCTTCCTCACTGTCTTGAGGCAAATTGAGCCTGATATTTAATATGTGAGCTGTTTGAATCAATGGTTGTAGTTGAGCCCCGAGAGACTCCTCTTTGTGCATCGCCATCAAAGTGTATTTAGTCGTATATTATTTAGATTGAGCTATGGCTGCTAAACATACGAGGTGAAGCAGACAAGTGGATTCTACTGCAGGAGAAGTTTTGTGAGGGGGGGTTTCAAACTTAAAAGGATTCCTTTTATCCATTGTAACTGCTATATATCCAAGGTGACTACAGATACAACTATGTGCACAGGAGCTACAACGTATTAATTCAGCCTTTCGTATCCCCGGCGTGCACAAAAGATGAAAGGTGAGTTACGCAATCAAAAAGAAGCATCTTAAGCCAAGTCACAAAATGTCCCTTCACATTTAGACATTTTAAGAAACGTCTTGAGTTTGCATATCGGATGCATCGGTATTCTATTTCTTGCCCCTGCAGCGCCGGGCTCTTCAATTAGGGTTTCCGTGAAATGTGGCGAGCTTTTGACAGCGAGCCGAGACTGCACATCACCCAGGTGCTTTTCTCTCCATTTCGAAATGAGGGGAAAATAATGTCACCTCGTGTTGCACACAATGAGAAAGAAAAGGAAGACCCAAACAAAGAGCAGCCACAAACAAGACAGAAATGAGGACAGAATGAGACGCAGACACAGACGGGGAGCAGGAAGGAAGTCAAAAGACAAAAAAAGAGGAGGCAAAGGCATCGGCTTTGTCATGACAGTCTCCTCTCCCGTGGCGGCAGAGATGCGTGTTCACATGCTCCAGTGGTCAGACTCAGAAAAAGGCCTGTTGCATTCACGGCTGCCTGGCAAAGAGCTTGTTATTCCCCCTCCCCATCCGACCCCGTCCCGTCCCGTCCCTTCATCTGCCTGCTCCTCTTCTTTCCACATCCTCTTTTTGCTTCAACGAGTCGCCGTGTGCG